CCTACAGGGGCAGTCTGATCCAGAGTTGGTATCTTTGAGATCACCCTCGAATAAAGACTTATGTAAATGTAACTATGCGGTAGAAGGGCACCAATCAGGACTTTGGATCCCGGAGACTTCCAGCCTATGGTAGTTAAAAAGAAGCAGTCACATTAGACTGCGAAACTTCCCGTGTTAGGAGACTTCTACTTCTGGCCAGTCCTTAAAACTGCCGTATGGAGCTGGGGAGACTTGAAGCCAGGCAGGGTGTACTATCTCAATAGCTGGTCCAGATTTTCCAGCGGTTATATCAACTAAGATAGTTCGACTATAAATACTACTACTTCCAGTGGGATTCGGCTGTCGCTCCAACACACCAACATGCCTGGAAGGGCCTTGGTAGAACGAGCGATGAAGCCTACTATGAGGCGAGATCATGATTGTAGAGAAGTCTGGCCTATATTCACTCGAGGACGCAAGTATGCTTTGGAAAATCGGAGAAGGAATTCTTTGCAGCCATCTCACTCTCGTGCAGCATTTCGACATAGCCAACTCGAGAGTACGTGTCTCGCTTAGTCTGAATTAAGGCCAGACCAAATAGTTCCCAAAAATTTCTGAACATATGGCGAGCTTCGATTGGCAGGCAGTAGATCTCGGCACACATCTCACTCTTGACGTCAAATATAACCTCGCACCGAGCTCGCGGATACTTAACTGTAGGCTTTTGACCTTCCACTCCAGGGGTTTCAAGGCTCAGTACAGACATGGCAGTCTCTTCCGGAAGAGTCATAACGCTTGGAATGAGCGTTGCAGACGCGAGAGGTCCTTTCAAAGTGACACTACCACTGGCCACTTGACCTGTCTCATCTTCTCCGCAAGGAATACATTTAGCGCTGATGACAAGCGCAAAAGACTGGGCAGCTTTCTTTTGCACAGAATGTGTGCCTGGATAGCACAACTGAACAGCCCCGTCCACAGAAGCCCACGACCAGGAAGGTGCGCGGTACGAAGGAGGTCTGCGACCGGGTTCCAGGACCTTCCAAGTCAAACACCCGGGTAGATTCTGACGCCAAAGCCCAGCAAGATAATTATCTTCATCATAACCTAGATCCTTGAGGCGCCTCCGGACATCTTTTGCCAAGCCAGAAATAGCTACAAGCTTGTCCGAGGGAACTGTAAGCTGGCAAGCCGTGAAAACCATTGCGATTGCGCACCAATCTACGTAGATCTGGTCTCTAGGATCACCTATATACCTTACCTTTGGAGCATCAAGAAGCTGTTTCCAAAGGTGGTTGTGTTGAGCGGCCGGCGATGATAACGATGATTTGTCCAGAGAATCCCCATTATCATTGTTCTTGTCGTTGCGATAACCATCGTACTCGTAAACATTGTTCGGCTGTATTTCGCAGCAGGTACATTCCCTGCACTCCCAGAAAACTTGTTTCCGACCAAAGTGCAAAACCCGTGGGCATAAAAGACGTTCTTGCAAGGTCCAGCCTCGCTTTGGCAAAGGTTCTCCATCAAATGTTACTTTCCAAGCCCAACCCTTTTCTGAGCGAAACCTGAATGCTTTGGGATCACTCCAGTTATCGACACGTATGTTGACGACGCTAGGGGCAACTTGTGCTGAGTCTCGGGAGAAAAAGCAGCCATCAGCATCGTTACTTGATCCCAGGGCAGAAATCCCCAGAAATGCATTCTTGTATATTTGCCCCATAGTTGCGGATTCGCTTTGCCAGTCCTGAGGCGGATCCTGGAGTATACAGAGACGGTCAATCCATATGTACCGAACTTTCAACCGTTCAATGATGGTGAAAGCGTGCTTGAATGTTTTGGGAAGGACAGAGAGCGGCTGGTATTCTTTCAGTTTGCGAAATGTGTCCTCCAACAAGATCAAGTCGGGGTTGGATGGCGTTGACCCCCAGCGGTGGCTTAGCGTTATATAGCGCTCTCCGGGCTGGACATGTTGCCTTTCAACAAGACGGAACATTTTATCAAACCTGTCTGTTTGCAGTTCTAAAAGCCGGCTTGGGATAAAGTTTGCTTCATGCTGATCATCGCAAGTCGGATGTCCTTGAAGACATCGATTAAGCCACCGCTCAATTAACACCCACGTTGTCTGGTCGTCAGTGGATGCCCCTATTTCAAAGTTCAAATTCTCATCAAAACCTTTAAAGTTTGTATCAAGACAATTATAAGAGGTCAGCCTGACTGGGTAATATATACCATGGAGCAAATAAGCCTTCATGTCTGGCACATACCTTCATGAGGAATCATATCACAGGTGCCGGAGATGTTACCATAGTACACCGTCATTTCCACGCAACGAGGCTTCAATAATATCTTGAATACGGAAAAATATTCAACATTCTCCAGTTGTGTGTTAAGGGTTTCCCGGTCCAGGTTCTCCATATCTTGCAATGGCGCGAATTTGTAGCATACGACACAGCCTTGCTCGATAGATGCCACAAAGGATTCCCTGGTGAGGTGATGCCCAAACACATATATTTCCGGCTCCCACTGGCTACCTCGGCCTTGAGTAGGGTCAGTATCAGAAAGAACGGCCGGCCAACATATACGTTGCAGGGCATACCATTGCCATATTCTTCGTCGCTATAGTCTATCTTCAGCCGCCTTGTTCTTTCAGGGTCCCATATGCCCTCTAACCCTTCTTTGCAGATCTTGCACAGCATGACTTAAGAGCTTCGTTGCGTCTCCACAGACAGCGCTATGTCGATGAAAGTACTTACTCTCACGGTGGTCGGTCGCGGCTTCCCCTCATCGGGCATCCGTGCGGGCTTACCGAATCGGGAAAAGTTGCATGCAGCATAACCGTAGTGGAACCTAGTAGTAGTGACTGCTCCTGATCAGTAACTATTGTGTGGTAACACCCCTACTCCGGAGTACACCCACTGAGACGGAGTACTAGTCATCTAATTAGAGGGAGCTCGAGGCAAGACTGTATAGGAATCCTTCCTTGATAATGTCGGACATAGACATTGGAGGTTTCAGTGGAGTCGGCCAAAATGATGTCTTCTATTTGCTATTCCATGTGAGAAGGAGATTCGTAGTAGGAGTTATTTGAATATGAAAAGATATATTGCAGGTACAGAGACGAATCTAGTTCCTAATCTGTTAGGCAGATCGCCACTATGCTCGGGTATAAAAATAGTTTAACTCCGTCCCTCGGTTCCTCCCGGCCGCAGTAAGTCTCGCTTACGCTTTTGTCGAACAAATCAGGTTTGACCTCTTTGTTCAGTCGAGATGATTGTGAACGATATCCACAATGAATATATTGATGCTGTTTCATTTTGTACTCGATGCTCATGTCTGAGCACCTTCATGGTGCATGGACGTGTGGGTCAGTGTCATCCGGTTACATAAAGCCCGGACTTAAGCAAGTTAGTCTTTCTTACCTCCGCTGGGATAAACCTTAGATGACATGACATCAATCAGTACCTTGCAGGAGTAGCGGAGGACAGCGAGTATATAACCATCCATGAGTATACCTTCTAAAATTGCTGTAAGTTTCTCCCAACCTCAGTGAATTCCCACCATCACATCAATTGCCTTGTACCTACATCAACTTCTCAACATGGCCTCCCTCGAGCAAGCAGCACAAACTTCTCCCCTCTTCCGCCACCGCCAATTGGCCCCAGCAGCAGCTGTCCGAGTATCCCCATTATGCCTCGGAGCGATGACATTCGGCAACCGCCAAGAGTCCCGCTACGGGGATTGTGCTCGTGAAGACGCCTTCGCCATCCTCGACCACTTCTACAGCCAAGGAGGCAACTTTATCGACACCGCCAGCGGCTACCAAGAAGGCCAATCAGAGGTCCTAGTCGGCGAATGGATGGCAGAGCGCAAGAACCGCGACGAGATTGTGCTGGCAACCAAATACACAACCGCCTATATGACACACCACAAAGACGCCATCCAATCCAACTACGGCGGTAACAATGCCAAGTCCATGAAAGTCAGCGTAGAGCGATCCCTACGCAAACTCCAGACCTCTTACATCGACCTACTCTACGTTCACTGGTGGGACTTCACCACCTCAATCCCGGAGCTCATGCACGCGCTAAACGATCTCGCCGTGGCGGGGAAAGTCGTTTACCTCGGTATCTCGGATACCCCCGCCTGGGTGGTGACCAAAGCAAACCAGTATGCCCGGGACCACGGACTACGTCCGTTTGCTGTGTACCAGGGGATGTGGAGCGCAGCAATGCGCGACTTTGAAAGGGATATTATTCCCATGGCTAGGGAAGAAGGGATGGCGTTGTGCCCCTATGGTGTGCTGAATCAGGGTCGGTTCCAGACTAGAGAGGGCTTCGAGGAGAGGGAGAAGCATAACCCTGGTCGCAAGTTCATTCCTACCTCCGAGCATGATAAGAAGGTTTCTGTTGCTCTTGAGGACATTAGCAATGCTAAGGGCGTGAAGCTGCTCGATGTGGCTTTGGCCTATGTGATGCAGAAGTCTGTCTATGTGTTCCCGATTGTGGGTTGCAGGAAGATCGATCATATCAAAGGTAGCATTGCGAGCTTGAGCGTGACTCTTACAGATGAGGAGATGGCGAAGGTTGACAACGCTTACCCCTTTGACTTTGGGTTCCCTCACACTTTCCTGAGTGGCTCGATGTTTGATCATTCTACTCCGAGAATGGCTGAGAAGCCCGGTGACGTCTGGCTGACCAAGGTCATGGGCAAGTTCGACTGGGTCGAGCAAACTAAGCCGATCAGACCGGCTCCTTGAGTATGCTTTTCCAGCTTAAGCATGATGGCTGTATAGTTATGAAAGCAATACAGATATTGGAATGCCATGATAATTCTCTTGTCACAGTGCTACTTGGTTCAATGTTTAATACATATGCTCCTTATATTGTCAAACGAACTTCGGATTCATCCTCATATATAGGAAAGAAGTAGAAAAAGTGCTGATTAAAAGTACAAAGAGGAATCCAAGTAAAATCATCTAACGGCAAATAAGAGCCTTCATGCCAGGCAAAGAGCACCAATCACGTCTATTGTGAATGATACTGGAAATAGGGTTGATAGGCCGGATTTTGGTTCATCTGGTACATGTGATAACGATGATCATCCCCATAGTTTGGTGCAGAGGGTGGGAGCGAATGGTAGACTGGCACCGGTCCCATTGCAGGATAAGTTTGAACCCCAGGCTCCCGTCTTGCTGGCGAACAGCAGCAAGTGGTAATGCTCCAGGATACCATAGAACACAACAAAGCCACACTGAACCATATAACGGTAAATGCACGAGTGCCCCACGTGCCAGATATGTTGTGTGATTTCAGCTCAGTGGCAAGTATACCCTTCAACAGAACGAGATTGACTGTCGTGAGTGCAGCAGCTGCCAACAGGAAAATAAACGCGGCACCGGAGACAAGGCTGATGACGAAACGGTTGAATGTCTTGTTTATAACGATAAGGGCGGCGAGCAGTTGGATGACTGTAAGAAGAATGGCCAGGATGTAGGTAATTTGCATCCAGGTCGAGGTTGTTTTATATGCATGCAGTGAGTGTCGAAGAGCTGACGAAAGATTGGTCTCCTTTCCTTCCTCGCCCATAGCTTTCAGCACATTGAAGTACGAGCCAGCTCTCGGGGTCATGCAATTCATTGTCGTGTTGCTGTTATTACTTCCACAGTAACCCATTATGCCGACTAGGTAAGTTTGATTTAGCTGGCTCCCATCCCATGTTGTACCCAATGCATTCGACGTGGAAAGATTTCGGCTACTTTGGATATCGATCTTGATGCGACAAGTATATTAGTCTTGATGACCGCAACTGCAATTATGCCGGAGCCTTACTTGGAAAAAGTTGAGTGTTTCAAGTTTATGGCTTCCCATCTTTGTACATGCCAGACCGATCACGACAAGACACAGTAGCGTCCCGATATTCAGCAAACACGAAGTAGTCACGAATAGGACTCGGTATAGATTCGCCATGGCTAAAGAATCCGATACTGCTGCTGCTGTCTGCAAAAGAGCGTTTGATTATGCCCTGAGATGTCCTCATTGCGATGAGCCATGGTTTATAAGCTGGTGAAAACCGACTGATCGAAGAAAATGCCCTCAATATGCTTGGTAGCGAGAGACGAAAAATTGATAGCCCCCTACTCTTGAAAACCCTGAATATCTTAATCGTGACGAGGCTCAACGCTTGATTAAAGACGTGGCTGGATTAACTAAATCAACCTAACTCAGGGCAGATAATAGGTTAATAGTCAAGCCAAACTTAAACCTGCCGAGTGGGTCAGACCCTGATAATATTGGGTAAGAAACCGAGATACGGATGCGAACTTCCTATTCGGGATAAGCCTCAGAACTTTCAGCGGCACCAAGCTTTTCACGTTCCGGTTCTTGGTAGGGATCCTCGCGACTCCAACCACTATACCAGTATGTCCGAGTATTCTCCGTGTCGAGCCACATGGGACAACGGAACTTTCCAGGCACCGCATGCGCCGGGAAGAAGTAGCACACCCGGACGCCGTCTGCTAAGAGGCCTACAATAGTGTTAAAAAAGTGAGCTTTTATGAGAGCCCGCCCTTGTATAATTGGCCAAGACACACTATTACCCTACAAAATCAGAGCCAGGCCACTAGTTTTGCAACCCCTTCATGCAGAACCCCACCTATGTCCTGGCCCAATGAAACGGTTTGATTGACTGTAGTTCAAGTAGGCATTGCAATGACAAAACAAGACAAGCAGCTCCTCTTTAGACGGTATGCCCACCCCCTATTCCCTAATATATAAGGCACAGACTTCCCGCTCGATCTCTGATTTTCATAACAGAGTCTAAGAATCCCCAGACATTTTATCTACACAATGGCAGACGCAGAGAAGGTTTACCGAGCTCACCCCAGAGACCTACCGACCTATGGTCAAGCCACCTCAGATGAGCTTCGCAGGATCACCCAGAACACTAGCTGGAACTATTCTCTCTTTGACTGTTGTTCCCCGGGCACATTATGTCAGTAATGATTTCCCAATGCCCTTCACCATCGCAATCCCTAACCGATCCGATGTCTAGGCTTGACCAGCTGCTGCCTTCCATGCCTTGCCTTCGGCAAAACGCAATCACGACTTCGTGACCCCACACTGCAGAGCTACGAATCGATTAACGGAGATGTTAGTTCTCGACACACTTTCTACCCCTCTAAAAACTAACGCTGTCCAGTGTGTGATCTGGTCCTTCCTCAGCCTTGGTCTTTCACAGTGGATCTACCAGACTATCAGAAGAGGCGAACTGCGCAACAAGTATGGAATTGAGGGATCCTGCTGCGGCGATTGCTGTGTGAGCATGTGCTGTGGCTGTTGCGCACTTATTCAAGAAGAAAAGGAGGCTGAAATACGTACCAGACCTCAGGTTACAGGGTACCAAATGGCACCTCAGATGGCATATCAATAAGCCGGTCACGGTTACGGAAACTTAATATATTCGTATTTATAGTACTATACCTAATTATTGTGTTGATTTCCGTTTTGGATTGGTGGCCTTGAATATACCCACACATGTATGGTTACTTCATAAACGTTCTTCTGGAGATCAAGAAGATAGTACTTGTACTGTTAACGTGACTACTCAAGCTGGGTTGATCGTTGCAGAACTCCAGCAGACACCTAGTCCGATACTTCTGGCATAAAGTTTCGGAATACAAGGCAATACGCCGGATAAGCGACCAGAACATTTGGAAGTATTATCAAGACCCCTAGAAAGGTTCGTCAAAGGCGCCACCGTTAGATCTTAGTGCTGACGGTGGCTTAAACGGCTCGAGGATCGTCAGGGGTACGGCGATTGAGATAAATATTATTGTAAGCCGGTTCCATTTGTGGGACTCAGCCTGATCCTTTAAACCAAATGAACTACTTTGTAGCCTTCTAGGGATTCTACACTGTATGACCCTGGGCTTGTCATTTGTGCATGCAGAAGTGAATCAACCCTTTTTCCGGGTCCTTTTTCTCATCATTTGCCGCGGGACCACATTTGTAACATCACTTTCTGCATAGCATACTTTAGTATTGTTCAAAGAAGTTGAGTACTATTAAGGACACAATGCCCTGGGTGGAGGCTCTCTGCTGGCCAGGGCCCAGTATAATGTTAATTACTGATTTGTAGTCCAGATATAAGAGTCTAGATACTCGGTTTTATTGGCTGGCAAAATGGGGCTACACGTTTGCCACTTCAGAGCATCAATAGTAAGGGAACCGAACATCTCAATATGCACCTTATGGTGATATTGTATGTAGATACTACTTAAAGTAGGAGGTTTCGCCGAGAGAGGACCCACAGGACTCTCATGGGTAGAGAAAAGTCAAAATGCGAAAACGAACTTCCCGAACGGGATTTAGAGCCCTTTATGTCTCCACATCCCCATATTCGTCAGTTGGAGTGCCTATTCGAATTCATTTACCCACCTCAGGGCAATTCGTGTTCGCGTTTAGTCTTACTGTGTTATCAACCCAAGAATTCTATAACATTCAGATAAATCCCATAGCCTGGTTTTAAAATCAACACCGACAATAAGATCCTACTCCCATGTTTGTTGGATGGGGTTGTTGATGGGATTAATTCGAACATGACGGCTCGTCATTATATCCCATATTCATCTGTCAATCAGATGTTTCAATGTGTTGACCTTAAGACCGCACTACTGCGCTCAGCCATGGCGCAGCTGCTATTGCCGATGCCGCTTGGTCTGGTCCCCGGGGAAGGAATAGTGAATTGTTCTGACCTGGGGTAAATCCCGGCTCGGTTACCAGCGGCTTTGGCTCAGTTACTGGTGTGAATAGCACCGGAATGGATGAGTGGTTACATCTCTTCTTTGCAAAGAATGCCAAGTTCGATACCGCGGGACTAAGTCATGATGAGTATCTGAGCTTCTTCAACCTCGCTGTGTAGGAGTACAGCGACTTCCATGAATGCAGCGGACCCCGATTCGATGGAATTCCGCAAGCTAGGTTTACGTTATCGTCACGTCTTCGTTTTATGATCGCCGAACTGACTAATTCTTCTGGTACAATTTAGAACTATCCACATTCCGACTCGAGGCACGGAAATATACTATGACAATGTGAAGGCGAAGTTCCCTGACGTTCAACAGCTCCCTCGCTTCTTCGAGTCTCCCGATCTGGGGCACCGTTCAGGAGGAAAGGGTGGGCAGCCCACGACTGTCTTCGCTGCCTTGAGACGCTGGGTCGAGAATGGCACTGCGCCTGACACCCTACCTGTGGAGTTTTCTGGGGGTAATGGCACTACATACAGCAGGATTCCGTGTCCTTATCCAGCTCAAGCGAAGTATATTGGGGGCGATGTTTCATCTGTCAATAGCTTTCGATGTGAGTAATCGTGTTGTGTACAGACTTTTTTACGGCGTCTAGGCGAAGCACGGGTGTTGGACTACTATCTTCATGAGTACACTATAAGGCTATGTATTTGAATTCTTTACAGGGCTGTGATGTAGTCAGGAGCCCAGACAACAAATTCATTTATATTCAGACACATATAACGGAGTCACTTGAATCACATATCGCTAGGCACATTCGACTTCATACAAATTTGTCAGTCAATAGACCTTACCTTATCGAATCTTACACGCATATTATTGATTGGTCAATTGAGTTATTTGGCATTCCACCCAGATATGCTATTATCAGAGACTCTTGCTAGCTTACAGGCATTTCAGCAGCTTCAAGATTCTCTCTGAATGTGACACGCGATATACACTTTCGAATAAAATAAAAAAGCAAGCAACTGACGATCGACCTAACGGTCCCCCATCCTCTCGATTTCCTTCTGCTTCGCTTCCTCTTTTTCAAACTCCCTTCTCATGATTCTCTATTCCATCTCCCACGCCTTCGTCTTCTCAATATCCTGCAACTGCTCCATAAAGCTCGTCCAGAATCTAGGCCTCACCTTCCTCTCCAACCACTCCACATCTTCAGGATGGTCGCGCATATGGTCCAACTCTCGGACGGGAATCCTCTGCGCACTCCTCAGCCTTTTGCGCACTACATCCCAAAAGGGAAGTTTTCCTAAAGGCTCATATGGTGCTGGTGTAAATGGCACACTTTTAAGCTCAGCTTGTACGTCCTCGAATTGAAGGATTTGGGGCTTGTCGATGCTATATTCAATCATCAACAAAGGCCACTGCATTGCAGCTCAGTACTGAGTGTGATGTATACAATTTACTTCCGTCCCATTCATAGCACACAATCGGTACTTTGGAGTCATCACCACCTGGGGCAGTTCCATAGTCTATCAGAAAGAAACACATTCGGTGGCTGTATCCGAATTCATCACCGTATGTGTACCATCGATGCACGTGACCGTCGAAGTCGCAATTCCAGGTATGTTGACAGATGGTATCAAGCATGGTGAAGAGCTTGTCATCGTATATGTTCTTGTCACCAGCTTGGTTGGTAGAGGGTACCAGGTGGGTTAGAGTTTGGACGAGAACACGGATCGGGGAGGGGGACAGAGTGGGTGGTGGGGTAGGGTTGCGATTCGGCAGAGGGTCGAGTGACATCGTTTGTGTGGTTCTTTATGAAACTGATGTATATCAAAAGAATGAGAAGGCAGAATCAAGTGGGAGGGACAAAAAAAGGAAGCGCGGAGGGACAGTAGTTCGTGAGATGGGATGGTGGATGGATGGACAGAACCCAGCGCTTAGTGGAGGCGGGACACTAACACTTTAGTTCCTGACTAGATGCCCGTGCAGCGCCACGAGGAATCTGTGTCCGGGTAGATGATGTGCAGCTTCACGCCTCGTTTTGGTTCACATTATTTCTCCTCAGCTAATGCCTTTGGAGTCACAGGACGGGCAATCTTAAGCGTAGCATCAGAGTTTACTACAATAGGTGTTTTGGTTGGTAGTTTTGGAGACCCGTTTATTCAAACTGCCACTGTTGTTGGCCCACCATTATGCATTGAAGCTCAGCTCTGGGCTTTATTTTCGCTTGTTACTGCTTTATACAGACCAAAATATTGCCAAGAAACCTATCTCTCGAAGAAAGCCAGTTAAAAGTGCTTCCTCTTCATAATCAAATCAGTATTGGTTTTAATAAGCTGCAACACATGAAAAGCTTACACCATAGATACCAGAATCGGCAAATTATGAATTATTGTCTGGCATTCCCCGGTAGGAATTATGATCACCGTATTGTGCAGGCCAGCACCGTGTCACAGAGCTTGCTGAAGGATCGCTGGGCTGAATCGCACATCAATATCAGTCCTGCAACCCTCATTCACTGAGTTATAGGGACCCACCACAATAAAGCAGACTTCCCAGCTGTTACCTTCCCTCCAAATTCTATACATCTCCATGACACGTTCATCACGATCTACAATCCCGACTATCATCAAGTTCTCTTGGCCGATACATAATGTCATCGACCGGCAGTTGTGCGAATTGCGGAAATGAGGCGAAGTGGAGGTGCTCGGGGTGCAGAGGCGCACCAGAATACACTCCCGGCGATGCCTTGCCAGTTTTTTACTGCGGGGTGTCCTGTCAGGAGGCGCACCAACCCGTTCACAAAGATCACTGCAAGGCCATGCGTCGTCGAAAGAAACTTCTGCGGACGGCAGTCATCGCCAAGGCTGCATTTCTGGGGTACAGAGAACTTCATTTCGACGTTGACGTTACCAATATTGAGCGGCGCGACGACAGTCTGTATCTTTCCATCAACCACATGATCTTGGATAGGGATTCCTTGACTTTGGGTCGTTCTTTCCCAGAAAATTTGACCACGGACCCCAAGCATCAAGTGGCAGTCCTCACATGGCTTCAAGGAATTACTGCCTGTCCCTTGTCGTGCCGCTTGGTGACAAAGCTTTTGGCAGGTACTGTTATTCTACTTCTCCAACACTCTTTGTACACGTTGGGCCACCTGAGGCTGACACCGATTAGACGTACCGTGCGAGATCACCATGATGGGGGTCAACGTTGGAAAGAGAAGCTTGACTATTCAGGTCGTTCCCCACTCTGACTCCGTTAATATCACTGGCCCGGATACTGCTGGTATACCACACCACATCTTAAAGGTCAGAGTCCGGCAGCCGGGGGATGATGAGACCTGGATTGTGGACCTTACTGGCGCTCAGTATGGTATTCAGGCTGCCCTCACCCCATATTCGAAGTATATGGCAGATCAGGAGTGTTCGATTGTGGGCAATCCAGAGCCATACAATATGACTGAGACCTGGGATTTAGATGTCGCGTCAGCCAAGTTAGAGAATGTATTTGGAGAAATTCTGAGCTCTGTGCGTCAGCCACGTCTGCGTTTTGCTGCTTTCGTCGATACGGTTGACGAAGAGATTTTAAAGGGGTCACCTGAGGAGTTCGTTCATAAATTGGCACAGTTCCGAGTAGCACTGAAGCAGTACATGTTGAACGAACCTCAGAATCCTTGACGTTGTCGACTAATGTTCGTATCATATGGCATGAATCTGAAGAGGGAAACTACTTGGGATGCACCCACGCAGATTAAGTTGAAAGATTAGTCCATCAATCTGTTGCAATGAATGGAGAAGATGTAGTCACTCATGGCTGGGCATAGAAAATTGGGTCTTATGTTTCTTACTACATAGTTTCACTGCATGCGACGGTCTACTGGTAGTAGGTACGTAAGTGAGGATTCCTGGGACAGTGATCGCATATTTCCTCATCAAATCAATTCCATTCACGACAGAAGATGTGCTTGCAAGTTGATGCCTAGTTGCGAAACATGAAAAGTCGATCATGCCATACAGAACCCCAGATAGCATAATCCAACTGAATCCTCCATCTGAAACAACCATATCCCACATACATGTCAATATCCCATCTTTCAAAGTTGACAAAGGCCGCTAAGAACCACAGCCAAAACAAGATAGGATTTCAAGCTGGGCACCGAGCTCGACACGGATCCAGAATTCTTCCCAGAGCTACAACCAATTGACTGGAGACGGTGACCTTCCGTAAGACAGTCCATCAGAGTCGACTGGGTATCCTTGGTCGCGTTGCAGTAAGCGGCACGGTTATCCTCGCCGTAGTAGCTGTACTGGTTGCTCTTGCAACATTTCACCAAGTCGGCATATGGGTCTTGCGTCCGGTTGAGTCCATGTTGCCAGATAGCAATGGCGCAGTAATATGGATAGCTCAGTGTAGGAGTTTCACTATGGCCGGCACATCGGTCCTGTTCCATAGTACTGTTTGTGATGTTCATGATTGCGAGACGATTCCCGACGTTGTTCTGTTGGCTTGTGTTAGGACAGATAGACACTTTGGACGTACATGGGGACAGCCACCTACTTTTGAGTGAAAATTTCCCTGTCTCAGTAAGATATGTAGCAATTTGAAACGAGTGGTAGATCAAAAGTTGTTCTGCTCGATATAAATCGGTGGCAGGTGAGTGGGTATGGAGATTTGAGCGACGCTTGGGAACGGGTAACCTTTATAGGAAGTTCCAATTATTTCTTGACTCAGAATTCGGGGTCGCTTTCACTAGTTAAATCACGCTCCCCGCTCAAGGATTCACTCTGTGAGACCTCCCTGGATAATTCACACGGTACCTTGCTCTTGTTGTCTGATGGTAATGAATGTCAGAGTTGCATATAGCATTCTGGAACGACATTGAATCCCGGGGGTGACACAACTCTTTCCACCCCCCACCCCAATTTTCTCGTTACCTCATGCACATGACCATGTACATGCACATTTCTACCACCATCCAGAAACATGAAGTGTTCCTTGTGAGATATTAACAGCCCTAGTACAATTTGGGGTCGAAGGATGAAACTGAGAAGCCAAACAGATCCCTGCACGGTTACCCGGACCCCAGAGAAACTTTAACAAGGCTGACAGAGTGCCCGATGCCCCTCCTTCACATGACCGTGCTACCAGTGAATATTAAGGGCTATGCTGTTCTGTGACTTAGGGAGACCGCAAATGGAATTATGATTGCCCAACTGATATAACAAGGTCATTAGTACATTGCGAGTTTCTGACTGGGTGTCAAATGTCCAGACGGCCCCTAGCACAGGCTAGCTACTTCATAAGCAAAGAAGTGACATCGAGTTGTTTCTGATGGTTGTCGAGGTGTAGGTAACTAAAAAGAAGGAGTAATTGAAATTCTCGATCATGGGTCTGATAGAAGTGGATGAAGGTATAAAGATGCTTACAGGCGCAGGCTTCACCTGAGAATATTCAGCATTCACAAATCCTTTGCCCAGTACCCGAAAATGAGAGTATTCAAGCTCCTCTGGCTGCTCGCTGCAGCCGCCTTGGCAGCGCCTTCTTCTCAGAGTGAAGAGGACATCAGTTACTTCCGAGTCACTCTGCAGCAACACAAGACCAATTCAGAGAAAGAGATTCTGGTAATCGATACCTCCACTTCGGATATCCTTGCATCCGCCTGCTCTCTTGCCCTCGACACCGGGGCCTTTGCCGACTTCAGCATCGTCGCCGATGTTGGGCTTAATGGCAACGGCAGTATCATTGCAGGACCGTATACATTCACCGTCCACGAAAATGTTGAGCATTCTGGTGGAATTTCCTGATACAGAATGTACAATGAGTACGATTCGTTGCTAGTGTGCGATGATGTTCCTGTGTCTAGCATGGTCCAATTGAGCCGCATTGGAAAAAATGGCCGCCCAGCTTGTTTCAGTGAGCCTGACAAGTTGCACTTACGTCCAGTGGCAGAATCCACCCATATCATGGACACTCTTCCAATGCCCTTTAGCCAAGAAAATCTCACTCAACCTGCACATGAGGACGAACTGGAGCAGCGACAAATCAGCCCGTGCAGTATGTGGTACCCGGCCACAGAACTTGTCGGAGACGGCGACCCTCATCAGAATTATTACCATAAGCAGTTGAGTGTGAGTGAAACATGTTTCTCCTGAACGATGACAGAAACTAATTAGTAATGCGCAGGAGAATCTGGACTGGGGGGATTTAGACGAATGTGCTGTCTCGGCATCATCATCTAAATCCTATACCATCGGCTGGACAGCAACCGCAAATGTAGGCCAGTGGATCTCTGGTGGTTTTGCAGTGGAAGAGAACTGGGAAACTGGCAGTGCGTATGGGTGCACTGGTCATGCTCACGAGACAATCTGTCTCTGGTACAAGATTGCTCATATTGCGTACACTGTTCGAAATGGGCAATTCAACCAGTGTACGGGCTTCAACCCTAACGATGATGACAGCTTCGTCATGACCTCTCCCAACGAAGGCAACAAGGGGGGTAAGGATTACTGTGTTACTGGTCATTGCCGTAGTCAGGGACAGGGTTACTGGAGCGATTATGCCCCTGCAGGTGGACCTTGATTTAGCTCAACTTGTTCCAATGATGGTGGACATGAGACTTGGTATTGTGAAGTGCTTGTATCATTAGGGGATCATTTGTATTAGAAAATGTCTTGTCTAATTAGGTCTTGGCAAGAAAGCCTCAGATTTTGGTTGTCCTCAAGACCACGGTCTCGAGTTAGTACTAGGTCTGCGAAAGGTTCGCGGCTTCTCATACAGATGCAGCGAGATGTATGCCCTGTGGCACAGGTCGTCCTTGACAAAATTGATAACAAGTGTTTGATATGCTTGGTAGGGCAGTCAGCTATTCTGGCCAATATCGGACAAGAAGCGGCTTCAACTAGCAACTGAATATAGAGCAGGCAACTACTCCAGAGTAGAGATCGGCCAAGGGGAGTAACCCTACTAGAGGTAGGCACTGACTGGATAGTAGGGACCCACTACAGATAAGGTATCCCATCCGAGCATAGGACCGAATAGAGTAAGGATCTACAAAGAGTCCAAGTGGCGCCAAATAGTAGGCCAGAAACCGATCGTGGCTTATGGACTGATAAAAGTGAGGGGAATATATTCAGCCTTATGACACTCACTACCTCCGATAGGATATTACGCTTGCTCTCAATTTTCCGCTCTTAATCTAATTCTTTATCTTAATGTAGACTGGTCTTAGAAATTGGTCGTAGGATTTGCTCTACTGAATATGGCCCAGTATGTTTTGGCCGTACATAAATATTGCTCATGATTCTGTGGTGATGTAACCTTATGTCCTAAAGCAGCTTAGCAGCTTAGCTAGACGGCTAGCGCCGCATTTGCTAGAATGGGAAGGTGGTTTTAATCGAGGGGTTTATTTAGCGTATGTTCGATTGTCGCGATTATGAACAAAGAGCAGACCGTGTAGGGCGATCCAGAAGTGAAGCTAAAAGATTATAAACCTTAAGACAGCATTAGCAATATAGGGAAAGCCTCCTAAAATATGAGAACATTGGCACATGCTAACTTTGTGTATGACCATGGCACATACACCCACCAACCCTATGCCATGTGGGGCATCGTAATATTTGGTAGAACAGCAGTTTCGGAAACCCCCGCCAGGTGTCGGTCTGGCATTTTCCCTAAGAAAGCACCGACGCAGGACCATCTGGGTGAAATATGGGTAGCTTGAGGCCTTTCAATCTATTTTGGGCAGGTAGCGATGACAATTGACAAATAATATGGGAGAACTGCCTCAACCGCTGACTTCCAGCAAATCTACTCAGGCAAGGATCCCAAATGCAAGATGTTTGAGTACCTTTCCGGTACAGATAATATAGCCAGATTGATGGAAATCTGTTACATAGTATATTGCATTAATCTGTCAACCGTACCTGCGTACATACTGTGATATAATAAAATACAAAATTAGAAGTCCGTGACTCAGCGAGAGGGCCACCTCTCCTCCATTACTCCATCCCATGTAATTCCATAGACTTCGCACAAGTGGAGTAACCATTCCGATATAAGGTAGGCTAAAAGGTTAGCTCCAATGATCTTAGAAATTTAATATAAGAAACCGTACTTACGTCCACGGGCTTTGTATGATATTTCGAAGAACAGTAACGGTTCGCGAAGGTGTTGATGAAGAGGAAGACTGAGAAGTGGATGTAGTGGCTTTTTCATTGGTACCCATTTTGGTTTTATCGATAGTACAAAATATCAGCACCGCTCGAGGCAAGGAAGGATATGTTGTGTGCAACAGTTGCAGCCAGGTACTAATGGTAGATAATTAGAAGCCCGGTGGCTATTCCGAGGTATTTATGTACGAAGGCTAGTGCTCGCCCCACTAGCTTTGCAAGGGTTCGTAGGCCGACTATCCACTAGTAGTCAACTGTTCCTTGACTCCACATCGGAGACCCGGGGTTCTTCTCATACTAAAGCACCATTAGTTCAATAGCCCATTTCTTCGGTGGATAGCTATTATATTATGTCTCATGTGCGAACCGTACAATCTAAAGTCGTGCATCATCTATGAAGAACAGTTTAACAGCGATACATAACTATAAATATGGCGTAGCGAAGCCTCCCAAAGATTACCTGCTAAGTCGCACAAATATTCTAAACCATCAACATGAAGCTCTCAATCTTTCTGTTCTCTCTTCTGGCTACAAGTCAAGTCACTCTAGCGACACCCACTCCAATAGTGGATGTTGCTGAACTTCCTTCAGACATTGGTCTTGAGATCCGATCTCCTAATCCGGCTCACGAGCCGCTGGCGATCCTAGAGCAGAGGGATACTAGAGTCTGTGAGATACTCAATCGAACGATTCGTTCTACTGGTACCAGCAAATTCACGTATGGCGCATACTCTCTTCTCTATTGCCAATGATTCTCAAGAGACTAATAAATTCTAGGGTTGTCTATATCGTGATGGACTCGCGTCTTGCTCGACAAGTCTGTGAATATGCCGGTGGCAGTAGGTGTGAGGAAATATCTTATATAATTTCAGACGGTCTCCTCTTGGCCTATGTCGCTGCCGCCCACTACTCTGGAGCCATTCCCGAAGGTCTACCGAGTAAGCGTCACGACGATGATTCCCAGGATTATTTCCAGTTGTGGGAGACTATGTTGTCAAGTAGTGATGATATCTCCTATAATTCTCTCACTCCTCTCTCAAATTCCTCAGATACCCTTCCCCTGGTTAGACGCCAGAATGAGCCTTTACCAATCCACAGGCTCCAGATCACTGGTTTCGCCCATGAGAACTCTCCGAAGCATGATATTATCGCCAATCACTATAGAAATGGCGATACCGTCCTTCATCTTCCACTTCCAGTAGGTAAATCTGGTGCGAATAGCACTGAAGGCCTTGACCTGAAGAAGCGGTTCGACAATCCCGGGTTCAAGATTTCGTTCACTACAAGGGGAAGATCGAAACTCACCCAAGCCCATCAAAAGTCTATGGCATTGGCTGGGGCTGCTACATGGGCTGTCTATGCGGACAACGCTAATCACAAGATGGATGACTTCATCGGTTTTACTGAGACTGAAAATTCGGCCAACTTCTACTACCGGATCATTCCGGAGCTGAGAGGATTTGGAACTAACTACGAGACTGTTGATGTTTGCGGAGGAATGGCATCGTACTTATGAAGAGATTTAGCAAACGGTGAGATCTATTCCGTGGGTACCAACTGTTGGTGTATTGCTTCTTCAGGCTTTCACCATGCGCACTGGTGGCCACTGGTGAAGGGATATGTGGACGATATCATGACCATATATGGAAAGAAGGAGATGAGGGTCAAGTTATAGAAAATGAAAGCAGTTGGGAGCAGTGTTAGTACTGTGCCTATTTTCTTGGAAAGGAGGTCTCCTTGTTGTGCATTTAATCTAACATTCATCTTGTATAAGGGCCTTCGTGTTAGGAGATGTGAAAAAGGGGGGAAGACCTATACTAAGACCAGAACCGAATCATGGTTATCCTAATAGTCAATGTCTAACCTATCTTCTATATGTATACAAGTTGAGATACTTAGAATGCTAGACATACAACATTACTTCTATAACCTCCACACACAACCTAGTCTTACAACGACACTAAGCAATGGGGCCGACGCCGATCGCTTGTGGCCTCCCGCTGCTGCCTTGAGCCGCGGCACTGGCCACCCATTAGACACCGGAATAACGGATAGGAAGGGTCTAAATCAAGGCTTTCTGATGCCTTACATAATAATTAAACTTTACGCGTGTATAAGATAAGCAAATATGCACCCAAGAGCCGCATGAAATGCGGGGCTCAGTCGGTTTCTTGAGATGATGTTGAATGAGATTTCGCTTTAGGCACGCACCTGACTTCATTCTGTCACCGTAATATCTCCTCTGGGGCCTAATCTTCTCATCTCTCCTGGTATAAAAAAAGAACACTCGGCGCAGACTGATGAAATTACAGGTACGATTTTTCCCTTGCCGTCCCTGATCATCATAGCAGCTAATGTTTCCCCACGGCTCGAATCCAAAGGAGACCCGTCCGTCCCGACCAGTAAGCCAATTTTACGTAGCGTGGGGTTCTTTCAAGTTTCAAGGCCACAGTGTGTTGTCCCTCTATATAGGCCAAATCATCCCAGATACGGTCTCTGCTCTTCTTCAGGTCCCCATTTACTGAAGTCCGCCAGTCCTTCCATTCCGCTTTCCTCCCAATGGCCACAATCAACGGCCACTGCGATCCGGCCTTCACCCGGGTGCGCGATCTCCTACAGCAATTGATCAACAATGAAGAAGAGCTAGGAGGTTCCATCTGTGTCAACATCGACGGCCAGAATGTAGTTGATGTCTGGGGCGGCCACGCAGACCCAGCCCGAACCAAGCCATGGGAAAAAGACACAGTAACTGTGGTATGGTCAGTTTCAAAAGTCATCACCGCCATCGCAACCAACATCCTCATCGACCGTGGCCTATTAGACCCAAATGAGAAGGTCTCCAAATACTGGCCGGAGTTCGCTGCGAACGGCAAGGAGAATATCCTGGTATCACAGCTTCTCAGCCACACCTCAGGAGTATCATCCTGGGAGCTTCCCAACACCTTAGATGATATATACGATGCAAAGAGAGGTGCCGATAAACTAGCCCGACAGGCCCCTTGGTGGACGCCCGGCGAACGTTCCGGCTACCACGTAGCCAACCAGGGTCACTTGCTCGGCGAACTTGTCCATCGCATCACCGGAAAACCACTGGACGAGTTCATCCGCAATGAGCTTGCCAATCCGTTAGCTGCGGACTTTCAGCTCGGGGTCCCAGAAAAGGACTGGCCGCGGACAGCAGATGTTTCCCCGCCGCCACCACTGAGTCTCGATGGTGTTGACCCGCAGAGTGTTATGTTCAAGAGCTTCGCTAGTCTGCCTATGCCGGCTGAAGAAAGTATGGGTCCTGGGTTTAGGAAGGCGTTGATTGGTGCGACGAATGGATTCTCTAATGCTCGTGGGATTGCGCGCATTGCGTCGGTCGTCTCGCTTGGAGGCACGGTGGACGGAAAACGGTATCTTTCTCCTGAAACTATTGACCTCATGCTGAAGGAGCAGATCAGTGGGCCGGATTTGGTCTTGATGTATCATTTGCGTTGGGGTCTTGGTGTTGGGTTGCCCGTCCCGGAGACGTTTCCTTGGTTGCCTGACGGTCGCATTGCTTTTTGGACGGGCTGGGGTGGTTCGGTGGTTGTTATGGATCTTGAGAGACGGATGACGATTGCCTATGTTATGAATAAGATGGGATCGGGCACGTTGGGCTCAGATAGGACGGCGGCTTATGTGCGGGCTGTCTATGATTGTCTGGCGTAGGTGTGTTAAGGTAACGAAAATATGTTACGAAGATAGTCATGCGGTTCATAATTCAGGTTCCAAAAATGCAGAAGTAAACAATGAGTGGTACTATACTATCTCGACCTTTTTTGCAAAGTAGGGGATCGAAATTAGCGGTAGAATTTGAAATCGTAAAATTGATCATCACAAAAAGAAAAGAGGTATGCAACTACATGCACTGTGAGTAGTGGTATGTTGGACGGTGCGGAAAAGAAAAACAAGCTAAAAAGAATGACCAGACTGGGGCTCGATCCCAGGACCTTATCGGTGTTAACGATACGTGATAACCAACTACACCATCCGGCCAATTTGTTGGAAGAAACAATGTTTTATTGTTATATGAGCCTGCACTACATTTAACCAATAAAACTCGACCGAATAAGTCGTGTTGATGACCATATTTTCTCGACCAAAAGCCCAATGCAGGTTTAGAGGCAGCAGTATATGCCTACCAGCCTAAGAAGACTCTGGCAAAGACCCCCACTGCTGTAACAACTTGTGCTGATATGTATTGGCTACGATTTTCAGGCGGCTTTCCTGAGTTGCTTCAGATAGTACTATGATAAGTTGTATCAATGACGCTAGCTAATGTCAAATAGCCACTCTTTATATAGACCCTGACAGTCTTTAAAGGAATAATTCCACATAAACGTCTAGTACAGAGCTAGAGTATAGCGACCTTGCAGCCTAAGGCATGGAAATGTGTCGATGTCAGCTTTTAGCGCGTCGCACCCAACCCAGAAGCTAAAGCATCCCCTGAAAATGTTCATGAAGCTGGAAGGCTCACGGAAATAAGCCTTACATAGACAGAAAATTACAGGAACTGAGAGTTAGATTCTTATGACAATGCTTTAGACCGAAAAGTAAAAGCCTGGAAGTGCCCTTAACAACCAAAGCAGCATCCGCAACATTGGAAGCAAGCAAGGGTCATACACCTAAAACCATCAGATTATATTCAGACTCAGTGACTGTAAAGTGACACTCACATTACGCAGCAGTTGTCAGGATTTCAATACCCTACCATCAATTCGAGTTCCCCCATCCCCATCCGGCCACCCCCCTCTTAAAGGAACTTCTTACCCTACCCAAACAACCTCTCCCTCCTCATCCCCAATGAACTCACAACCCCAACAGCCCCAGCAACCAACGGGATAATAAACGCACTCGCCATCGCATCCGTAATAGCCTTAATAGCCCGTTCCCTCAACTCCCCACTCAAGCTCTTCAACAACGTACTCTGCACCCCGGCCACCGCGTTCCGAATCTCCGCCTCACTATATCCCCTCCCATCCAGCACCGCATTCAGATTCTGTACCGCAGTGGACTGAAAAACCTGGCTCGCCACCACGAGGCAAATAACCGTCGCCCCAATCTGCGCCACATTCTGCAAATTGATCGCGCTGAATATATCCTCGGGAGCTACCTTGAGACTAGCTACCGCGTAGCCCAGCTGCATGGTCATGCCCGTACCAACGGCCATGAGAATCGTGAAGCCGTAGATCTGTCCCGCAGGGGTAGAAGGAGAGAGATATCCGACAAAGAGGGCGCTAGCGAGGGTAAGGAGGATGCCCGAGATGAGACATAGCGGCATGTAGTATCTGGCCTTTGGGAGGAGCCAGCCGATGGCGAGGTTGATGGTGATGGTAACAAGGAGGTACGGGAGGAGACGAACAGCTGCCATTAAGGAAGAGTCGTTGCGGGTGAATTGGAAGTAGATCGGGATGTAGAAGGTTGTGAAGAACATGGCGGTGTTGGCGCAGGTAGTTGCGATGTAGAGGAGGATTTGGGTGCGGGAGCGGAGGAGATGACCGGGGAAGGAGCGGGTTTGGGGTGTTGTAAAGATGCAGAAGTATTGCTGCAATGCATAGAGGATGAAGAGGACTCCGAAGAGAACTATTAGGGCAATTGTTGCGCCAGAATCCCACGCCCAGATTCCCCCGGCGGAGATGAAGCCGAGTGCGAAGGTCACCCACATTGCGACGCTGAGGACGAAACCCAGATAGTCGAGTCGGGTTAAGCGTTTGCGAAGCGATTGGCCGACGCCGGGGTGGATGGCTGGAAAGTAAAAGAGATACACGGGGGCCGTGATGGCGCCGATCACCAGATTTAGGTAGAAGCCCCAGCGCCAGGTAGCGGAGGAGTCGGAGAATCCGCCTCCCACGACAGGACCCAGTATGGCACCCACGCCCCAGACAAATCCGGTCCCTGTCAGATAAGTGCCGCGCTCGTTGCGAGTGGTCATGGCAGAGAAATGGTTGAGTCCACCGAGGTAAATGCCTGTACCCCCAGCACCTGCAATCACACGACCGACGATGAGGGCGTTCATGGTTGGAGCGCCGCCACAGAGAGCGGAACCACCCTGGAACAGCACGATACCGGCAATGTAAAGCCACTTCATTTTCATGACGGTGTAGAGAAATCCGTAGGGGAGAATCATGGCGACTGAGCCGAGCGGAAAACCGGCTCCAATCCAGGCGAGTTGGGACACATTCCCAAATCTCTCAATCACGGCGCCCTGTACATCCGCAGCGATGGTTGTGTCAAGACCATACATCAAAGCAGAGAGGTATAAGGCAGCACAGATCAGAAACCAGCGAAATCCGGTGATTTCGCGGACATCGTCTTCGGTGGCATTGGCGTCGCCGTGTGGTCCTTTCTCGTCGGATTCTTCGCGATGACGGAGAGAACTATCCATGGTGGAGCCTAGATTCCGGATTCAAGAAAGTGGATGCGCTGCAGCTTTGATACTAGCGGAACTGAGAGGTTATAGTACATGGTTGAGAGGACTGAGCGACTGGGGGAAATGGCGCATTTGTATAGCGTCGAGCCAGGGTAGATCATCACATTTGCATCTCCTCATGTCCGTTAGGGCCGGCGCACCACGTCGTGAATTTACCCACGACAGGGATATTGCAGGACATATGGTTTCTACAAATTGAGCTTTACTGTTGCTACGATGGCGGGATTAGGAGTTTAGCAAAGACTATCCCCGTGGGAGGCCGGGGGATCATCATATAACATCCATGTCGCTCACCCGAAATTCGTCGGCCGAAGATAGAACGCCCCACGCACTCACCCGACAAAGAGCATAGTGCATCCAAGACCACTCCAACCCATGACCAAAGTAACCCATGGCTCAAATGAGCATATAAACGTCATGGTATATTGTCGAATTCTGCCCAATGGCAATATGCAGATCACTGACGCGCCTGAAGGACTTGATTAGATCGGTTACTGCTTCGGCATTGGGTTGGGTGCAGAGGATGCCCGGGGGCTGGAGTGCGGGGACGAGGGCGCGGAAACAGTTGAGGATCTTGGGATAAGAAATGGAAAAGTAGATAGTTATATAGTTTACTCTGAAGATTGAGATGCTTGAGAGTTGAGACTTCAGGTAAGAATACTAGTATAATTAATATAATAAATTATAATAAGATTAATAGTAATAAGATAATTAAGTCATATTATTAAGAAAAGATAAAGAATAATTTATATATAATTAGCTTAGATATTATACAGGAGTATAATACTTAACTAATTTTATAAAAATCTGCTTAGAATAATTTATTTAAATACTATATTATTCCAGCTGAATTACTGGTATATTAATAATAGTAACCAGTCTTGAATTAAATAGCTTGTTATTATTATTAGATCTAGTATATATAAGTTATTCAAGTTGTTGGATTGGCCCAGGGACGCTAGTCCAAAATAAGAAGGCGGTCTAGCGGGGCTAGGCCAATCAGAT